AACACTGTATTAGTGTTGAAACAGTCAAAGAGTACAGTAATTGGCTCTTCTCACAAATCCTACTATTAAAAAGGAACCATCTATCTAGTACCCATTAATCTCTATGCCCTCACTAATACGTTTCCAACCCCTTCCTTGCTCTTGATTAGGGAAGCATTTCCCTCTATTTTCTGGAAACTAAACAGAGAAGAAAATATTTTCAGTCATGCAAGGTTCTGTTTAATAATCTTAACGTATTGTAAGTAACCTTTACACTAAATACGAGGCTGTGCTCCTGGATGTGCTTCGTATCTGAAATAAGATCTGAAATACCTCGATGGGCTAATAAGAACAAAACTAATTTTAATTGCTCATGTTTGTCTGTTTTCTGATTATGTTGTTCTTTCAAACTCCCTCCCCCACTAGTATAAAGGTTCACAAACATAATTTTTCTATTCCTTTTACTACTCCGCTTTTCTACTCCTCTCCCTGTGTAACAAACAGATTTGCTTCCCTTTTTATACTTTCCTTTTCATTATTGTTCCTCATTGATTTTTCTACCCCTGATTCTACCCCTTTTATTTTGTAAGGTGTGAATGTAAGTCCTGATGACACAATGCCAGTGATGGCTGGGGGGGGGGGAGAGAGAGAGAGAGAAAGAGAGAAAGAGAGAAAGAGAGAAAGAGAGAAAGAGAGAAAGAGAGAAAGAGAGAAAGAGAGAAAGAGAGAGAGATCTTTAGTAGTCATCTGGATTGCACCACAAAGCTGCCCTTTTTGCTCTGTCCTCTGATAAAACCATTTTTCGTCCACTTTTTCTTGTGCACTGAGAATTGTGGCTCCAAATAAGGAACCTCAGTGCTAGAATTAATTCATTGAGAAATTAATTTATCTGCTCATGCTATTAGTCATGTGTTAAAAAAAGTGGAATATGATTTATCCTCTAAAATCAATTGTAACTTGGGTTACAGTTTGCTCCTTTTGGGTTGTTTTTCTTATCAGTCTTATAAAGTCAATACAGTAATCTAAAAAAAACATTTAAAAGCACACTCCCAATTAATATGCATGCAGTGATTGTGTGACAGAAGGCACATTATCTGAAGGTGTGCTTGTGATAATATCTTACACAGCCTAAAGTTACTTTCCATCACTTCTATCATTTATTTTTAGTACAAAATGTTACCATGCTTACACTAGTCTTCGTGAAGTGACTCAGAAAGTTAAAATATGCCCATTTACAAGTCAAGACAATTCCTTGTCACATTGTAAATGTGGAGGGTGTTGTCCTAGCTTTAAAATGAAACATGAAATTCTCCACTGCCACTTCACATAAAATATGGGTGACATCAGATAATTTAGTTCATAAAATATTTCATCAGCCATCAAGAGAGAAGGGTTGGGATTTGTGATAGGAGAAAAGATAGCAACCAAATGCATTCATTCTCAGTAACGTGGCTATGTTTGGTACATAAATCAGACCTATAAAATCTGCAGTGCCGAGTCTTTTATCTTTCCATCCCTGATCCTTATGCACATATTAGCAACTTTCCAGTTGCAACAAAAGTAGCTCAGGCATCTATGAATGGTCCGATTTATTTTTGGAAACAAGGATTTTTGCGTCCTACTCCCAGAGTGCGTTAAGATTTTAAAACCAGGAAATCTATTCATTGCAATGCTTTCTTTACCCTTAAGAACTGGGATCCGTTTTCAGACCCTTAAGTGTAACTGTACAATTCATTCCAAGGGGCTGTTTTTCATGTAGCATGGTAGCAACGAAGGAGTAAATTGTAAACATTTATCATCTAAGCAGCACATTTATTGATTTCCCATAGGAAGCACTTTGGGAACTTAGTGATAGATGTTGGTTCCGATGGAAAGTGAAAGGTTATAACAGTTCACTGATTATGGATCATCTGCTAGTGCTCAAGTGAAAGTTACCCGTTTATTGCATTTTAAATGAATACTATAGACCCTAAACACAGTGGGCCAAATCCTTGAACGTGATAAGACTATGGCAAATAGGACATTCAGCCTATTGATTACAAAAGTAAATGCATCCCATTCTTTATGGAGAAGTTCACTATTAATGACAGAAAACTGCATGCATACATTTCATAATATAATCATAACAAGTGATGATGCTGAAAACAGTGGTTTTTAACACTATAATGACAGAATGTTAAAATATGTCTGTGATGTCACAACACCAGCTCCTCTCTTTTATACTGCAATGTGAAATCACATACAGTTATGGAAGGAGTGACATTATGTCCCCATGTTTCAATGGAGGCTTAATAAATTGCTTGTTCTTCAAAAAAATGCTTATGGTTATCTCATGGTAAATTATTCAACTTCTTACTTCACAATTTCAAACAGATTTTACTTGCTGCCTGATAAATTAATTCTAGGTTGTTATGCAGCTCCATGAAAAGACAAAACAAGAGCAACAAGACTTTTTTCTTCACCAAATCATATTTAACTCTTACATGGGACAAGCGGGGATAACAACAGGCTAACAATGTTATCACAACACTTCATATATCTTTGAAATACTGGTCTTTACTACCTTCTGAAGAAAATTCTATGGAATGCATATTTTTATTTTTATGTTTCACTTACTTCCCAAAAAGGAAGCAAGCATTAACTGGCAGAAGCGATAGGGCTAAATTTAATAATCAATTTTTTTTTCAGTTTAGAAATGCTAACTATGTTAGATAAAATAATGCATTTTATCCACATTCTTTGGTTATCAGATATATAATAATAATTATAATAATATGACCTATAGATTAAGAAGGAATTAAGATTAAGAGACAACAAATGAAGAATAGAAAAGACACGTGGTAAGGCAAAATATTACATGGTCACTACATTAAAAAAAATAGCAAGCAAAGCAAATAACAAGACTTGTCAATGGCTAAGACTAGGAAAATTAATAAAGAGACAGAGGGGCTAATTCTGGCTGCACAAAACCAAATCTTAACAACGAATGCATACAAAGCCAGAATTGAGAAGACAGCAATAGACAGCAAATGCTGGCTCTGCAAAGCTAAAGAAAAGGTGGACTATCTAGTTAGCTGCTATAAGACAATTACCCAGATGACTACAAACAATGGCATGACAAACAAGCAACAATTGTGCATTGGTGTATCTGCAAGAAATACCATTTGCCTGCAAACAAGAATCAGTGGGACCACAGAATAAAGTAATAGAATATAAAGAAGCTAAAGTGCTCTGGGATTACAGAATTCAAACAGAAAAGCATCTGTCACATAACACCCCAGACATAACAATTCTCAACAGGAAAGACAAAAAAAGTCTGGATAGTGAATGTGACAGTACTTGGAGATAGCAGAAGAGAAGAGAAAGAACTGGAGAAAATCACAAAATATAAAGTCCTGCTGACTTGCTAAATGTGACTAACTGCACAACCCCCACCACCAATAATAATAATAATTTAAATTAAGGCCAAATAAAAGAAATAAAATGGATAATTAAAATTAACAGTTAAAAGCAACATTTAAAAAACTGTACATTAAGATGTTCTACATGGAAATCATTCCAAAATGTTGGAGTGTCAACAGAGAAGATTTGATCTGGGCTGCTGGTAGATGAGTTCATGGCAATTATAGGCTAACCTATGTTAGCAAGGAGATTCATATAGTATGAGGCATTCTCTCAAATAGTTGGATCTAAGCCAGGTAGGGCTTTAAAGTTAATGACCATTACTTTGGATTTTGCCTGGAAACAAATTGGCAGTTTGTACAGTGCTTTTAGCATTGACATATAAACTAATTGCAAACAACAATTTTCATGTCAATATCTGTTGGAAAATTACTCTGGGCAATTCCTTGTTTAGTTTGCACCTAGCACACTTCTAATCAATCCCTATATCCAAATCAGAACAATCAGATACTGTATACTTAACTCAGCAGGTCTAACAAAAAAAAAAATGGCTGGATGTTTATGTATTAAACAAAGCCACTATCCAAAGCAGATAAAACATTTACATATTATGCACTGCAACAACATAGAGACATTTCTGTTTTATGTCAGGGAATGTAGAGTTTTGGATCTTTGAATCTTAGATTTGACCTGATTTTTACTGGGTTTGGTCATGCATTTTTCCAAATTCTGAAAAATGTTCTTCAGCTCTGGTTTCTCCACAATAATCCCTAGCCAATAGTAACAAGTGATATGACCCTAGGCTTGTGAATTGAGTTGCAATGTATGAGTCCATGCAAAATATTATAAATAGCAAAGACATGGCAAACAAACAAGAAAGCATAGCAACAGCAATTCCCATAGCAATAGCAATAGCACTTAAACTTATATACTGCTTCATAGTGCTTTATAGCACTCTCTAAGCAGTTTACAGAGTCAGCATATTGCCCCCAACAATCTGGGTCCTCATTTTACTGACCTCGGAAGGTGGAAGGCTGAGTCAACCATAACTATATAGTATAGACCTACTAGTTCTAAACTGTACAAATTTAAGATATGAAAGAATGATGCTGAGATTTGACAAAGGATCCAAAAGAGTCCAAAAGAAAAAGGTATGACTTGTTTCCAACTCAATCAAAAGCTATCAGAGAATATTTGAGAAACCAATTCATTGGGAAGAATTCATTTTTCAATCAATACCTAGGCAAGCTTTTGTTTCTTCCATTTGAAAACCCAGCCACCAAACATAAGGCAATTGTAAAACTACTCTAACAACTTGATTTCCTCCAGTTCAACTGATCTGTAGATGGATTTTTGTCAGAAATACTCTTATGGTTGCAAATTCCAGCTTATCAACCCTTGAGCACAAAAAAAAAATTCAGAAATCTTGCTGAGCTGCTTAGAATTCCCAGCACTACTTATTCCATTTTAGCTTTCTAAATCTCAGAAGACTGGAATATCTCTCTAAAGGACTTGAAACATTTACCTGCCCTATTTTAGGTCTGTCAATAAGCTAATTATGTAACTTAGATAAGCCAATAATGCAATCATTATCTTGTCTTTTGATAACTTATTTATAGGATACTCTTCCCTACAGTACCACGCAAGACTGCTCAAGGTCCTTCTAAGGTCAGTTTGAATATGTTACAAGCATCACATTATCACCATACAAAAGGACTGAATGTTTTGTTTCATCAGCCTGGGTAGGCAGTGGTGCATGATTTCCAGGGTCTTAGCTAAATTGTTAATACTGAAATTAAGAAGTAGCAGGTCCAAAATGCAGTCATGCTTGACAACTTTCTAAATTGGTAGAGGGGCAGGTAATAGTGGGTTGCATCTGACTCTCAAGTTGGTGTTTGTATGGAACTTATTAATAAATAGTAGACAATCTCTTGTTATCAGAGATTGAATCAAAGACAAAGTTGGCAAAAGCAAAAGGACACATTCAATTTCTTAGAATATATATATAACACAGCTAAATGTTGAAGAACTATTCCATCATTTTCACATTCATTTTTCTTTCAATCAGATAGTTTCATCAAAAATATTTGGCACGGAATTTAAATACGATTATGCTTAACAATCTAATTAGTCTGTAAGTGATTTCCATTTCATATACAGGAATGACAATATAAAAGTTTCTAGGGATCAGCACTGTCTTGTCTGTAAAGATGAAGATGGATAGTAAAACAGGTGCTTTTCAATCCATATTTATCTTGGTTAATCCTTTTTGTTAATCCTAATTTAATCATTGCCTGAATGTTCTCTGTGTTCAGTTGTTCAATTTTGTTTTCCTTTAGGTCTCAGAAACTGAGACTGGAAGGCATTCAAGCAAAGTAACTTTGGAAAGGGCCAGTCTTCATTATTATATATCTGCCTGTTATAGAGAGCTTGAAAACAGGCTTCTTCAATGTGTAGAGGGCCATCACTACTTATGCTAGAGCAGTGTTTCCCAAACTTGACAATTTTAAGGCATGAGGACTTCAACTCCCAGAATTCCACAGCCAGCAACGCTGGCTGTGGAATTCTGGGAGTTGAAGTCCACATGCCTTAAAATTGTCAAGTTTGGGAAACACTGTGCTAGAGGGATACGTCCAACTACCAATTGCCAGAAGAGAGATGAATTATTCTGGTGAGCCAAGTAATTAGTTGTTGCCATGTCAGCTTTAATACTTCAACAAAACAAAACAAAAAGGAATTTATTTTTATTTTTTTCTAGTCGACTTGCTGCAAATGTAGCAACAGAAGATCAAGTTGGTAGAATTCACAAGACATTATAGAGATTTGCTACCATATACTTGTGATCAAACCAGTTCTTAGAGTGGAGATCTTATGATGAGCTTTGGTCTACTTTGGTAAGAGTTAGCATTCTTGTATGCTTTAAACAAGATTGTAATGCTCTAATATATTTTCACCTGCTTCTAGTTGTGTTAGTGAGATACAACTAGACTAGAATTCAACTTTGTTTTGAAAAATCCATAGCAGGATTCATTCTATTATAAGTATTAAAATATAAGCATCCAAAAGGAGGATAAAAGGGCAAGCAATGAAAGAAAAAAATGATGACATCTTCACATAAATGCAGCAAATTATTTATTTTCATCTGACATCAGAATCCAAGAACCCCAATGTTTACTAGATGATGTTGCCAAATTCATATCTTTATTACACTTTTCTAAAGGCACTACCAAATTAAGATAAAAGGAAAGAAGAGCACAGACTTTAGGACCATGGTCTGTTTACTATTTTGCAGAATTTCATCTAAACTACTGAGCATATTGGTTCTTAATGTATTCAATTTTTAATGTAATATTTTTTATTTATTATTTATTTCCTTTAACTAATGGAAGTTTGGAAAGATGGATGTGGAAAAGCTAATGTTTACATGAAGTGGTACAGTAGAATTAAAAAATAGCATCATTTGGCTAAGCAGTTGAGTGTCGTCCCACAAGGGATTTCTCTGCTAAAGAGGGCTGGGAAGCTTTGCGCAGTGTGTACATTAGAGAGACTGCGAGCAGCAAAGTAATGCTGACAAGGAAGCTGTATAAGGCCCAACTGAGACCAGGAGAGAGCATGTCTATGCATTTGCAGTCCATGAGAAAGACATTCCTAGAGCTAGAAGTAAGAGGAATGATTTTACTGAGGCACACAAAGTGTATGTGGATATAACCAGTGCGGTTAGCATTTTGAGTCGGCACACTTCAGCACCCAAACAACAACACTGGTTGGGGATTAAAAGAATATTAAGATATTTAAAAGGAACAATGGACCTAGGATTAAGGATAAGGTCATCTGGTGATTTATCATTACAGTGCTATGTAGATAGTGACTGGGCAAATGATCTGTGGGACAGAAAATTAAATTCAGAAAATCAAATTCAGGGTTTGTGATATTGATATTGCAATATTGTTTGCCAGCAATTCAGAAAACAACCTTCAGTAGCACTATCAATTGCTGAAGCTGAATTCGTAGCATTGTCCAAGGCATATTCTGAGATAACCTGGTATGTTCAGTTCCAGATAACCTGGTATGTTCATATCGATGTACAAGGAGCTGTATTGAAGACAATGTTGTATGTATAAAAATGGCAATGGGAGAACGTAAAGGAAGCAGAAGTAAACATGTAGATATAAAGTATTGTAACATCAGGGAGGCTGTAAAGGATAAACTGATAAAGTTACAGCATTGTTCCACTGACAACAATATAGCCGATATGTTAACTAAGCCTTTAAACCAGTGGTTCTCAACTTTTTTAATGCCGCGACCCCCAACAGGTCGTAAGTCGAGGACTACTCAACTGGTGCAGCACTGTTTGCAGAATGGGACTTTTGGCGGCTCAGCAGGGCAGAGACAGCCTGGACAATTCCTATTGGCTTTTGAAAGCCAATAGAATTAGACTCTATTCAAGAGAGTCTATTCTATTGGCTTTCAAAAGCCAATAGAATAAAAGGGAGTAGCACAGCTAAGGAAAAGGGGAAAAAAATGGTGTTGTTTGGCGACCCCGTGAAATGGTTGTTCGACCCCAAATGGGGTCCCGACCCACAGGTTGAGAACCACTGCTTTAAACGCAGGCAAGCATCAAGAGTATGTAAAAGCATTTGGGTTAATAGCTGTTCAGCTTTAAATGATGATTTAAAAGTTGACCAGCTGATGCAATGATGGGAATGAGTCAGTAGGGTCTTTGGCTGTTGACTCTTTAAGAGCCTGTGTAAAAAGGGAAGCTCTGCTAATGTGTTTTTCTTTCTTTTCCCTTTCCTAATATATTTGCTTTTTGTTGGATTTTGTTCATAGCACGTGTACATATATTGTTCCTAGTGATACTTGTATACCATTGTAGATATTGTAGATAAATCACCATTTGTTACAAACCACTGTTTGCTGTGTCTGCTCCTGGGTTGTTGCACGCGATAGGACTGTGCGCGTTCTGACAAACTCTCTGATTTTATTTGTATTTACTTAGGTATTATCTCCTGACTTCAGTAGGGCTTATTGGGTAGCCTTAGGCTTATGCAAAAGAATTTAGAGCAATTCAGTTTCTTGCTGATTTCATTCATACTTTTGTGAAAGATAGACAAAATTCAAGTACTAATACATCTATTGGCTTATAACTGTCTCCATCAATACATTTTTATATGAACTTTTTGCTTCAGCAAGCTCAGTCAAAATCACATCAAAATCAATCAACCTGTACACAAACAAGATCCTATAACTTCCCAAGAAACAATTTGGCATTGTGTTAGAATCTTCCAGTATTCAGATCTATTAAATAAAAATAACTGTGTCTGCACTTTACTTTTATTTGCAGTTTGGTAACTACTATTTTATATTCTGCTTACAAATCAACCCTCATTCTTAGGGATTTCTGAGTATTCAGCTTTCTGCAAAAAACCAATTTCTTCTAAATTCTTTTTGCCTCTTTACTTTTTTAAAGGGAAAAAAAGTTATAACAAAGGCAGAGTTGCCAGTCTCGATTAACTTAATTATTAAAAATAAAAGTAAAAACAAAAGAAAAACTTATACAACCAATATTATTGAGGCTATAGGAAGGTATACATGGATTCTTTGAATTTCTAAACTATCAAATTACTGTTTCTGCTGTTCTAAAGTTTATGAGATACTTATGCTCAGCTAGACTTTGTTATGTTTCCTAACTATATAACAGCATGATGTGAAAGGAGAGGAGAGCATTATCTAAGCAAAACAGAACATTTTTTCATTTTGTTAGATGATTAGCTATCCCATCAAAATTATATAATATGCCTATATGATTACCATTTTTCCACTTCTTCATTCAGATCATTAATACCAATATTGGAGACTTTCAAGCATAGGAGTAAACTGTCTCCTTCTGAATACTTGTCTGTGAATATATATTTTCAATTTGATAAAGAATTATTGATGAACACTTGTTTATTTCTTGATTGAGTATGCTTCCTAAGCCAAATATGTAGCCATCTAATTACCATGTTATTCATCCTACATCTAGCTTTAATATTAATTAAATCTAATCAGTTAATATGCCATGGATTCTTTGTCAAACGTTTTGTAGAATTCAGAATACATTGCACCTACAATTTATGAAAGATGTGACCAAAAATGAGGGAAGGCTAATCTGGCAAGATTTGTCCTTGATCAGTCTCTGTGGGTGCTAGTTGCTATTTAGTGGTCTCAGGGGTCTTTCTAATTAACCCCCTTTTTAATCATCTGCTCTTGAAATGCTGCATTGAGTTGTACCAAATATAAGTGGGATATAAACCCAATCAATCAATCAATCAATCAATCAGTTATCTCTCCTGTATCAATTGTAGACTTATGGTTCTCCTGGGTTCTTCTTTTCCTCCTTACAATATTTGCCATTTTCCACTGTCCTGCATTTTATCAAGATTTCTCAAAGATAATGTCTAAAAATTCAGCTAGACAATCACAAAGTTATTTTAATATTCTAAAATGCAGTTAATGGAACCTTTAGATTTTGATTCTTTCGAGGTAAACGGTATTCTCTAACATATTTCTATAAATCCAAGGAGTCAGTCCAAACCTTTTCATCTTTTAGTTCCTGTTGCCTAGTGAAGTACCGGTATGTATGCTCAAATTATTTAGTTGTATTTCTCTGCCTTTCCTGAGTTATA